GTGTTTTCTAGTTTTGTAGATATTCAGTAATAACTCAGCTTCCGGTTACCTCAGATAGAGGCACCGCACTCACCTGGTCTCAACAATTTCTGAGTCCACCAGACTGAGACAGGACCAAGTCCATGAGGTTGAGACCGAGTTGAGACTGAGACCACTCATTTACGATCTTGAGACCGGTCTCAAGATTGAGACCAGGGGCTGTATTACAGAAAATTCTTAAGTCTGACATCTGCTTTGTTGTCATGGCAACTTCAGTTAAGTTTGGACAGAAGCCATTACAGAACGACACGGCTTAAGTCTATAATCTCTTATTTCCAGATAAGAAAACGGTTTTACAGAAACATCTGCCAAAATATCCTAAATATTTTCTTAACTTTAAGATAAACCCTTAACTTGTTTTAACTGTCTGTTTCTATTGTTTTACGCAGTGACGGGCAGCACAGTTCACTATAAGAAGCATGACGCTACGTTTATCTACACTGAAAACGGTGCTTTGACTTGAGATTTTTTTTCTAACAGCGTTTAAAAGCCCCAGACACTCAGACTCGATCTCCACTGTCCCTCTTATGACCTTCGGGTGTTAATGTTGATAACAACTCATCAGATACACTATTACAGTGATGGTGGTGAATAATGAGGAGACGGAGCTGAACGCGTGTCTGTTTATTAGGAGGAATAACATTAGCGTGCTCGGCTAAAGCGTTTGGGAAATGGAGACTGAAACTGGACGCTCTGATAAAAGGCACAAAGCACTAAAACAAAATTCTTAACTCTTCGTTTATCACGCTTTGGTTTTGTTTGACTTACTTTACACCGGTAACGCCAGCTAATGTTAGGTGTGTCGCTAACTAACTTGATTACGTGTTTACTGGATTCAGCTGTGCGTGTATGATCGGTTGCTAGGTAACAGACACGACAGTTGATTGTCGATTTCAATCGAGTAAGTTAAGATTTCCTAACTTGAGATGCTGTAAAATAAAATACGATTTTAAAATTAAGATAAGATTTGCTTCTGTAATACGAATTTGTGAAAAGTCTTTTCTTGACCTGTCAGATCACAGTTTGTTCGCACTACTGAGGTTCGCCTAACAGTTAGCATGTTACACCAGCTTTGAAACAAATACAGTGGCTGTTTTTTCTTTTCTTTTTCTTCTTTTGGGGACCAGGTGAAAAAAATGAACTAGGGAGCTAACAATTAGCATGACAATGCTAAGTAATTGTTGAATAAAGGTCCCAGAAAGGTACACTGTAAAAAGTGGCTCATCAGAACTACCTAAAAAATGACTTCATGTGGCAACAATGAAATTAACTAGTTTTATTCATCCTAAATTAATACTTTGAATAAACAATTTTTTCAATCAGTATAATTTTTAAATTGAATAAAACTAGTTCAATTGTTACTATGTGAAGTATTTTTTTAGGTAGATCTGATGAGCCACTTTTTACAGTGTAAAGAAAAAAAAAAAACAGCTGCCACCTGCTGGTCAAAGCTGGTATAAAGTGTTAGCCAATATTTTATACAGTAGAAGTTTTTTTGGGGGGGTTTTGTTGGCTAAAATTGTGAAACTGACACTAGAAACATTTGTTCTTAAGTAGAACTTAAACTCAGGGATGCACTTTCATTTTTTTTTATATGTTACTCTTCAGGGCTTCAATACTATAACATTCTATTATCTATAGAAATGACCAAAATTCAGGCTGCTACTGCTGTTTTTACCTATGCTATGTACTTTTGTCCATTTTTATAAATAACTTATGTTACGTATTGTTAGACGCCACATATGCAGGTCTATTTGAGATCACTTAACAACCTGACACAGCAAGAAATGAACAAAAGTATGTAGCATGGCTGAAAACTGCACTAGCAGCCGTACTGAATCCTGATCAGAACCATTACTTTAAGCTTTTTTTTTTGCAGTTTTGCTAACAAGATTAACGACAGGAGCACGACAGTTGATTGTTGTTGTGTTTTCTCCAGAAAAAAGTTTTTCTTTGACTAACTGCATTAGTGCATCAGGCCCAGAGCTTTGCTAATAGATCAAGCTGTAGAGAGCAATAGCATTAGTCTAATAATGTTGATTAAACGTTGATTCGTCCCTTATCTTCGTTCCAGTGGGGTCAATTCAGATGAGTAGACTTTCAGCAGCCCGTTTGATTTTGGCCTTGGGTTAACTAAAAAGAACATGCCTATGTATCAAAGCCTTGGCACTAATTTGCTTTCAAGGAAAACCTCTAGTGGCGACTATTGATTATTCAGTTAATGCCATTAGCACCTGTGCTCATCTGGGGGCATGGGGATCTACTTCCTCTCGAGTATGAAAAACTCACGGTGCAGGAGCTTGCGGCTCCGTAGATGACCTAAGGTCACTGCCGATCGATACTGGATCACTGGATCAACTGAGTTGGACTTATTGGAACTAAATACCATGGTGTCATTGTCCTAGGAGGCCCGCAGGCCAGATCAGGCCCACAACACAGTCCTATCTGGCCCTCAAAATTATTATTATTTTTTTTAACAAGTGTGCTACACTACAGTCCCCAGCATGCATTGCAACGTAATGTGCTCTCTGACTCTCCTACCCCGACAACAATCTATGGGACGGTGGTTACACCTCAGTTCTACACAATTCTATCTAATTCCACACCAGTCGTATCACCAGAATGCATTTCAGCTGCAGTTCAGCCAATGTAAACACTTAACGTCAGCTCAGCAGCTCAGAAACTGAGCCCAAGTCTTAATGAGCTTACAGCAAAGAAAGGATGTCAGGTGTCCAGTTCGAGGAAATGGGTAGGTTTAAAAGGCCGAGCTCCTGCGGACATTTAAGTTTCGAATGTTTTAAGTGTCCATGTAATATTTCAAGGTCTACTCCAAGTGTCTGTATTTTACTGTTGAAGTTTTTGCATATTTTGAATAAACAGTGGCCAGTTTGGGTTACAGCACGACATTAATTAAAAATAAAATACAAACATTTTTTTTTTGGGCCACAGTTTTAATGACAAAATTTAAACAGCTGTTTTGACTTGTGGTAGGAACTTTTCTAGTGGCACACCAGAAGATCTAATTTCAACTGTACGGCTGATCATAATCTTCACACTCGCAACAACATTACCGGATGCCTGCTTTATTTTCTCCTCCAGTCACTGTTTAGCAACCATTCCACTATCTGTCATTACCTCAGTCAAGCTTTCATTTCATTGTTTTTTTGTACATCAAGCAAGAGTTCCTGTCAATTTTCTTTAAATTTGAAGCGTCTGATATACAAAAGCCTTCAAAAGAGTAGAGGATGCCTGTTTTCAAAGGCAAACAGCCTGAATTGAAGAAAAGTGGCGGCTCCGTAGCTGACCCAAGGTCACTGCCGATCAATACTGGTTCAACTGAGTTGGACTTATTGGAACTAAATACCACAGTGTCGTTGTCGTAGGACCCAGGTGTTAAACACAAGGCCCGCAGGCCAGATCAGGCCCGCCACACAATCCTATCTGGCCCACAAAATTATTTTTAATTTTAATTTCTAATTTTTCTATTAACATTAACCCGTTTCACAGTGTACTGCACTACAGTCTCCAGCGTGCATTGCAATGTAATGTACATCAAGCAAGTGTTCCTGTCAATTTTCTTTAAATTTGAAGCGCCTGATGTATAAAAGCCTTCGATAGAGTAGAGGATGCGAACTGTCTACTTCCACATGCACTGTGGCAGTACGCTTTAGCCTAGGATGCTTGGCGGATACGGATAAGATTACTTGGGTGCTGTTTTCTTCATCTTTGTTATTTACATCCCTCAACTATCCGATTTAAGTTGATGTCACTGGGGTCACCTTCATTGGGGTGAACACTGTGCTTGTGAAGAGTGGACGCATGCTGTATAAGGAAGTGTTGCATTGGTTGTTGGTTTTATGTTCCGCTGTGTTCTTGTTAATGTGATTATAGTGGTCTTTTATTTTGTTCCACAACCCTTACTATGCAGCTTGGTCAGAACATCCAAAAACACTCTTTCATAAATGAATAAGTAAGTAAATAAGTAAGTAAGTAGTTTGCCCGACTGTGTTCAGTACACTGCCATCGTGGTGCTGCACAGCCCTCACATAACCTGCTGTAATATCAAAAATAAAGAGGCCCACTAAATGTTTGAGCCCAGGGGCCAATAACTTATTGATCTATGCCTGGATATAAAACTGTATTTATGTTTTTATTGTAAATCAAATATACTGTATTCTGTTGTATTTTTATGCTCATTTAGTGTCGATATTTCTCTCACTAAATAGGGCTTATTCTACAGTTAATTCAGTTAATGCATTCTCTCTCTCTCTCTCTCTCTCTCTCTCTCTATCTCTCTCTTTCTTTCTTTCTCTTTCACTCACTTTATTTCTGTCTCTATCTCTCTCTTTCCCTATTTCTTTTTATTTCCCCCATGTCTTTTATTCTCTGTCTTCTCTTTCTGTCTCTCTCTCTCTCTCTCTCTCTTTGTCCATCTCTTTCTCTTTCACTCACTTTATTTCTGTCTCTCTCTCTTTTCCCCTATGTCTTTTTATTTCCCCATGTCTCTTATTCTCTGTCTTCTCTCTCTCTCTCTGTGTCTCTCCTTTTCCACCCCCGCCTATCTCTCGTTCTGTCTCTCTCTCTCTCTTTGTCCATCTCTTTCTCTTCCTCTCTTTTCACCCCTCCCTATGTCTTGTTCTCTTTCTCCCCCTTTGCTCTCTCTCTCTCTCTCTCTCTCTTTCTCTCTGTATCTCTCTTTCTCTCTCCTTTACCATCTCTCTCTCTTTTTCCTCCCTCTCCTTATCTCCTGTTCTTTTTCTCTCTCACTCTCTTTCCCCATCTCTCTCTCTTTCTCTCTCTCTCTCTCTCTTTCTCTCTGTATTTCTCTTTCTCTCTTCTTTACCATCTCTCTCTCTTTTTCCTCCCCCTCCTTATCTCCTGTTCTTTTTCTCTCTCAATCTCTTTCCCCATCTCTCTCTCTCTCTCTCTCTCTCTCTCTCCCTCTCTCCCTCTCTCTGTAGAAGTGTGACTGTTTGCTGAGTCTGGAGGCGTACTCTGTGGAGCAGAAGAGGAGAGTGTGTCAGTGTTTGAGCGACAACATTGAGAAGCAGCTCCAGCTGCAGCGCAGAGAGAACTTCGGCCCACCAGAGCAGGTATACACTCCTTCACTCACTTCTTTACACGCTCACTCATGCACTCGTTTGCTCCTGTCGTCTGCTGTGTTCCTGTTTTCCGAGGCTCGTCCTGCACAGCTGGGCTCATGCATTAATGGTTAATGTGCAGTATGTAAATGGAAACAGGAGCTTTATGAGATTTGGATTGATGAAGAATTTTGCTTTTGTGCATCTGAACTGTTATTTTGTGCTGCTTCATTTGAACTCTTTAAATGGCCAAACATATATTACATACATCCTGTAACTATAACTCAATAACATGTAATCCATGCAGTTTCTGTATATAAGCCTAGGAAATTAAACCAGTTAATCGCTGTTGTCGGAAGAAAACCTTGTATCTCCATTTTTGACGTTTTTCAGTTTTTGACATAATTTGAAAATAACTCTTACACTTTACATTGTATTTACATTTCATGATGAATGGACTAAAAGAAATGACCCAAAATGACTTGGAAAAAATTCTGGTTCCATTGACTTACATTAGAAGTAAAGTAGGTTTTTTCCTTCTCCTGTAAAGTTACCATTTTGGAGATACAAGGTTTTCTTCCGACAACAGCATAATGCTTTATACAGCAAGGGCCTGCTGACAGATTCTTCACTTCACACTGTTTACATTGATATCCATGCAATTACTGAATAATAAGCCTTGGAAATTAGTGGTTTAAACACTTTATGCAACACTCTTTTAACCCCATTATATGCCCAGGGCCTGCCAGCAGGACCAGGCCCTCATTCCTCACTCCTGTAACTTAAGAAAAATCAGCCAGTTTACATTGTTTTCCATGAAATTACTGAATAATAAGCACTAGAATGTAAAACATCTGGGAATTTAAGGGGCTAAACTGCTCGTTACCACCTAAAGTCACGTGGAATGTGTTAACCCCTCTTATCTCGTGGAAGATGGCTGTAGGAAATGAAAACATAATGATCTGTTATGTGGGATTTCTTGTAAATATTGGATTGGGCTTTGCCACAGTTTTTCCTGAAGGCCCGAGGCATGCTTTGAGTGCGGTCTTTGAAATCAATAAGAAACCCTCGTGCATGGGTCAGTTTCTAGACACCACTTAAGCTTTGACCTGGGTGAAAAAGGATTTTGAATCAATGATGCCCATTCAGTGGACCTAGCTAATGGAGATTAGAGTAGTTGCTTTGTATCCAGAGTTAATGTTTTTAGTATCGTTTTTATTGTGCTATGTAATTGCTTCAGTAATTACTAATTAATTACATAACTACTTAATTAAGAGTTTTATAATTACATTTGATTTACATTCTGTTGGCAGTTGAGGCTTGTTTAGCTGTGTTTATTATCAGTTTTATTGTTTTCGACCTGTGGTCCAAAAGCAGTCATGGCTCATTTCTACATGACCTTTTTCCAACCTCTCCTTATCCCTTAGTATTCAACAGGCTGTTTTGTTATTGGGCCTTTAAGGCTGATATATGTAATTGATCTCTGTTCTGATTGGCTGTCCTCTATTGTGCTTCATACAAAGGAAGTGGGGAAATTATGGACCCTTTAAAAATGACATAAAATATAGAAAAATGTAAACAGTATTTTTTATTGCTTTAAAAGAAGACTGTACACAACAGTGAGTGTGTTTACATAAATCCGATTATGATAATCCAATCATAATTGGATTTCACCAGTTATCTGATTATTCAAATGGTCATGTAAACAGCACACTCCAATTTCTTAGATTGGAGTAAGGTCTAGAAATCGATTAAGATATCCGATAAAGAGAGATCTTAGCTCAGTAGTTACATTTGTTTGTGTGCATGCTCTCTTACTCTGATTTCTTTCGGATTACTCAGTCTGCACATGTGCGAAAAAAACAGCCGGTACCAGAAATAAGCAAGCAGCTTTTAACACAGCACCTGTGAGACAGCAGCAAAATTTCCTTGACAAAACTAAGAATTTAAACCTCCTTCATCTTCTAGATGATGTTTGAGTTTTATGTTATTTTTACGTCACGTCTTCTTCTGTGAATTTATTGGCTGGTTGCAGAGCTGAAATTCGGTCACCGTTTGACTCTTGTACACATGGAGTTTTCCCATTATCTGATTACTCAAGTACATGTAATCGCGTTGATCAGATCACTGACGAAATCTGATTTTCTGTGGCTACTGAATTATTAAGTGCATGTAAACTAAAGAAATTAAATTAAAATAAATATCTTCGGTATGGATTAAAAGTCTAGAATCTGCTCTTTCCACACAATCTCTCCTCTTGTTTTAATAAGCTACGGGTGACAAATACTATTATTTATTAGACATGTTATGGACACATAGGCCTACCATTGAGTATAATACCACTGCACTGTCTCATTCCATAATCTCTGAAATAATGAGGAGCCATTCATTATGATGAGGACACATGATTAGGCTCAGGGTGCAACAGCACGACTTCCTGAGTGGCTGGTTCTATTGGATGGGTAGAGTAGGGCCAAGTGTTTCCTGGAGAGGTTATCATGGACTGTAAAGCCCCTACAAGTGTGTCTGTGTTCTTTCTATATCCTGAGCCTCGGAGCTCATTTTAACTGTATCTCTATTTTAGTACTTTGTTTCAGTATTAAAGGGCCCATATCAAGGCGTTTGATGGAGTTTGATGTAGTATATAAACAGTGTTAAAGTTTAGAAGCGTACTGTTCACTCCTCACAGTCTATATAAGCAGCAAAAACAGGTCCGGTAACAAAAACAACCAGTTTAATTCCAAGGGATAAACAGAGGTCAGAGAATGATCATGTAAAATTATTATTAAAATTATTAAAATTATTATGACCACCTCCTCGTTTCTACGCTCATTGTCCATTTTATCAGCTCCACTTACTATATAGGTGCACTTTGTAGTTCTACAGTTACAGACTGTAGTCCATCTGTTTCTCTGCATACTTTGTTAGCCCCCTTTTACCCTGTTCTTCAGTGGTCAGGACCCCCATGGACCCTCACAGAGCAGGTACTATTTGGGTGGTGGATCGTTCTCAGCACTGCAGTAACACTGATGTGGTGGTGGTGTGGTAGTGTGTGTTGTGCTGGTACGAGTGGAGTTTTTAAACACTATGTCCACTCACTGTCCACTCTATTAGACACTCCTATCTTGTCAGTCCACCTTGTAGATGTAAAGTCAGAGATGATAGCTCATCTGCTGCTGCACAGTTTGTGTTGGTCATCCTCTAGTCCTTCATCAGTGGTCACAGGACGCTGCCCACAGGACGCTATTGGCTGGATATTTTTGGTTGGTGGACTATTCTCAGTCCAGCAGTGACACTGAGGTGTTTAAAAACTCCAGCAGCACTGCTGTGTCTGATCCACTCAGACCAGCACAACACACACTAACACACCACCACCACGTCAGTGTTGCTACAGTGCTGAGAATGATCCACCACCCAAATAGTACCTGCTCTGTGAGGGTCCATGGGGGTCCTGACCACTGAAGAACAGGGTAAAAGGGGGCTAACAAAGTATGCAGAGAAACAGATGGACTACAGTCTGTAACTGTAGAACTACAAAGTGCACCTATATAGTAAGTGGAGCTGATAAAATGGACAATGAGTGTAGAAACAAGGAGGTGGTCATAATGTTATGCCTGATCGGTGTATTGTAAGTATCATAAGTGTAGTATGTAACAACTGGAATGGGATTATTATATCAATAAGAACTACACTACGTGCTCTGTAATGCCCAGGGTCATTAAAATGCACTACCTGAAGTAGACTATAAATACAGCGGTGGGCTTTTACACCCCCCCCCCATCTGTCCAACACCTGCTGTTAATTATTCCTCTCATCCTGCTTTTTACATGAAAGAGAGGGATGCGCTGACCACAGTCCCTTTTATCCACGGCTGAATCAGGAAGCGACTGCGCTCCCGTCTGTCTCTGTATCTCTCTCTCGCTTCCTTTTTTCTCCCTCCATTTATCTCCCCTCCTCCCTCTGTTCCAGCCCTCTGTTTGTTTGTTTGTGTGTTTGTTTGTTTCCGGCAGGGAGGCAGGCAGGCTGTGAGAGAGGGCTGTGCGACTGCAGCTGTGTTCGCTAGCCTGACCCATTTACAGCACATACACTAGATACAGTATGATTCATGCAGTGAGTCTGAGCCTGAGCCAGTGAGTGCGCGCGTGGTTCGCTTCTGCACCATCTTAACGTATTAGTAACGGTAGGAGTGTGTGCGTGAGGTATAATGATGGCTAACAGCGTGCCGAAGGGTGACTCATGTCCCGGCAGGTGAACCAGCGTGCCTGGATCGGTTTGTGTGCATCAGTTTTCATTATTATTATTATTATTTTTATTATCGTCATTATACGCAATTGACCACGTTCTATTATGATAACTTGATAGCTATTTGGCCCGAAGTGTTGCAGGACATCCCGCTAAGCCGTTGGATGACCTACAAGCCACTAATGACGCCAAATGGAGATGGATTGCTGTCTGAACGGTCAGACCATTTTAGGAGATCTGAGGCACATTGACCGAAAGAGCTGAACTGAAGCAACTCGACTTTTAATGGGAACCAAGTGCGCAAAAGTGCGTTTGTCCTCTGTTATATAAGAAAGAAACCCAGGAAGTCCCTTATGATTGCTAACACTATTTTTACCTGGTATTTTCTGCTCTCTTTAATAATTGAAGGGCCTCATACATAAAGTCATTGAGTTCCCAACTAAATATACCTAGTATTCTGCGTAGTTTTCTGCGTAGTATTCTGTGTAGGGTCATTGGCTAATTGTGTTGATTTAAGCCGTTAATAAATTTGTCTGCGCTCTTCTGCTGATGGAGCATTGATTACTCAGTTGCTGTCTCTTGGAGCCAGAGTTTTAATCACAAAAGAAAATCTCTTTAGTTTTCTCTCTCTCTCTCTCCCTCTCTCTCTCTCTCTCTCTCTCTTTTATACACCGATCAGGTATAACATTATGACCACCTCCTTGTTTCTACGCTCATTGTCCATTTTATCAGCTCCACTTACTATATAGGTGCACTTTGTAGTTCTACAG